AAATGATTTAGAAGTGTATACACACAAATCTGGCAATCAAGGAGCCAGAAAAATTGTCTTGTTGACTCTTGATACCTTGTGAAATATTCACTAATAATAATAAATTTTGTACATAACTCATTCATTAAAAACAGATTTTTCGAGCAGATTCAATCAGTGACTCGGACTTGCCTAACACATGTGCAATGAATCATGACTTTGCAAAGAGAGATGTTCAACAAAAAAAACTATGTCTTGTGTGCTCATTTATTTTTTAACAGTCGATACAAGGTTGTTGTTATTTAATTTTTTAAACAGATAAAAATCTGTTTCTCTGATCTGTTTTGGGGTTTTCCCTGTTAAATCTAATTTACGTTGAAGCGGAGGCGTACTATATATGTTTGAGAAACATTTTGTCTAGTCCTGTTGGAGATTTTGTAATGATGTTACATCTATAATGGAGACAGGAGGGTTTTCTATTACACAACAATTAAGTAGAATATTGAATATGGTGCCAGTCGTTTAGAGAATAGCTTCCTAGTCTGGTATAAGTTAAATAACTATAGGCTATACAGCAGTTGTACATGATGATTCAGATAGTAATGATGGAAAACAAACACATATTTCAGGGGTTTAAAGAATTTTTGGTAACGTAATGACATTTAAAAACATTTTTATTTTTTTCATAATGGTAATGTGGAGTGTTAAAGAAATTCCTCCATCTGACAGACTTATCATTGATGCCATGCATATATTTTTGGAGCGTAGTGGTCGAATCTGCATGGAGCCCAGAGGCGTCCTTGATCTGGTAAAGGCAAATGTAATGTAAGGCTAACTGCCTTGAAAGTGCCTTCATAAAAATAATTCTGTTATTTAACATTTCAAATTACTGTATGTACTGTACACCACATGTTTTGGTCATGTGTGTGCTCAAGTAGTTATTCTTGATCCAGGTTGGGAGCGTATTCCCATAATCTTGTCAAGTGATCCCATGACTTGGATATGTATAGTGTCTTAATAAAAACTTAAATAATCGTATCATATCCCACTGTTAAAAAAAGGGGTCATGACCTCTCAATGAGGAACTGTTGTCAAACAACATAAAGGTCATGCACCAACTCAAGGAACATTTACAAAATTCTTAGATACTGGTGAAATAAAAAAGGGTTCTGTTTTGACTTCCTAATACAATAATCTTAGACCCCTCAGGAACCTCCATGCTAAAATTCCTAATCACCTTTCTTGTAAAAAAATATTGCTTATGAAAACCTTTATGCAAAATACAGTGAGTGCATGCACATGTGTCATCAACAACTGCATTTTTTTTTTATATGAGTGCCTCAGAGGTATCAATTTATAGTGAAACAGGGTCTTGTGACCCGCCTTATACAGAGTTACAGACCTTTGTTCATTTTAGATGCTAATATTTGTTTAAAGATATATGTGGGGAATAATGGACTGCTCACAATATTTTGCTTGTTTGTGTAGTCATGTCGAACCAGTATTCCTGCTTTTGTGTCTTCAGAAAGGGTTATTTATACACCATTTTATTTTAAATTATTTCAGCTATGCACCATTTTCACATAATATTTAATCATAGAGAGCTGATGGTTTTGACAGTATCAAACGAAATAGGTTTTATAACTGCACAGCTGCATTTAGTAACTCAAACTATATTTACATTATAATGCAAAAAAAATTTTGAAGCATCTTATCACAGGCCAACAGAACATTAAAACTGAATCATTTCATTCGTTTATTGTCCAATATACTTGAGCTTAACTTTCAAAAAGTTGTTTTGGGGGTGCAATCTGGATCAGGTGAAGCACATATACAGAGTGCAAGCAAATTACTGTTTCTATCCGATAAAGATGGGAGATAGAACAGCTATATCTGTGATTGAGTGACAAAACATATACTCAGTGGGTCTCAGATTTAGAAGGCAGACAATTCCGATAGCTGATTGTTTATCATGATGATATTTGTCTCCAGCTGTGTATAAGATTACAGTCAGATTCTATGGGCCATTATATCTAACTGAGGAATTGGCAGTCTTCTGCTGCCTCGGTCTACACTAGGGTCCCCTATATCTTAGTCTTTTCTCCATCTCTGGAGTTGGTCACTGGCCCTGATAATGATAATTATACAACATTTATATAGCGCCCTTTATATAATTTGTAATATTACTCTAAAGCGCTGATGAGTACCTGGACATGACCACTTGTACAGGTCATAGCTGTGTGATCTCACACAGACTTGATTATAATTTAGTGTAGGAGATCCAAAAGAACACTGCCAAGGCCATAGCTGTGCAATTTCATACTACCATACTTTCACTTATGAATAAGGAGGTACGGTAGTCCAGTGGTAGGACACAGGGGCTCTTGACCGAAGGGTTGCAGGTTCGAATCACGGCACGGCACTGTGTTGTATCTTTGAGCAAGGTACTTTACTCCGCTTGTTCCAGTCTACTCAGCTGTAAATGAGTACATGGTTTGGCAGTGCTAGAATTGTAGAATGCTAGCTACAGTGAGCGCCAAAATGGCAGCATCGGCTGTATCCTCCACAGGGAGTTGAGAATGATATCGTTTGGCTGGTTGCAAAGGCCCTTTGATAACTACAGAAAATAATTTGTGAACCGCTTGAATTATCATTATTATAACATTGTACGTAAATTACTGTTGCTGATTTAGAGCCATTTCAGCTTTTTACAGTTTTATATTAAATTAAATTTCCACATTACAGGACAAATTCAAAGCCAAAAAAGTGTTAGTTTATTATGTTGGCCATTTTATGACACAGCAAAGTTAAATTTCTGCTTTATCTCCAAAACATTGTTACATCACCATGGAAACATAATTTGCTGTTAAAAGTAGAAAAGGCAAACAAGTACTATTCTAATTAGTTTATTCTTTGTGAGATTTTTGTTCATTTTTTTGTGTGAAAAAATGACAAAGTGCCATTATCTGATAAAGGATACTTTTCACATTCCTGTTTAAAAATGCATTTTCAACTTCATCAACAGCAAGTTTTTAGTGACACAATGCGATTTACCGAGGAAAGGCGAAAAAAAGATGTAGTTACACAAATGAGCAGCGTAGGCAATTAAAAGTATGTAAATGCGACAAAGTGTGATTTAAGAAAATAAAACAGTGCCTTTTCAGCTTTGTTCCAGCGACATTGTGAAATTACCAAAAAGCAAAAATTACCTTAATTAGTCTCCATAATTAATGCCCATATATCTAGTCAATCAGTTCAATTAAAGACCACAATTGATATATCAAGTGTCTAAATCTAACATTCTCGGTCAAAAGACCAGATGCCATATGGACGCATCTGTATGATATATATATCCCTTTCAAAATTTTTTGCTTAATTAATTACCAGTAAAACAGGTTAATAATGGCCATATATGTTTGGGATCTTATGTATCTATATCTTATTAAATGCTAGTCCACAGACCCCAAGCTGCTTCAGGCTTACCAGTAGAACAGGACCATTGGCCGTATCAGTAGGATATTTTTTCTTTTCCTTGTCCATTAACCTGCACGGTTAACCAGAAGAACCATTGGCCGTATCTTTGTGATCGCCCACTTTTCCAGGTCTACAAGAATTCTACAGTGATATGTATACAGTTCAAGTATTCAATCCCCTTCTGAGGGTTTGAGATAATGTTTTATGAAGTGATTTTATCAGACAATATATGAGCCTATACTTTTACTGTGTCGTGTTACCGTAATCTATTTTTGTGTCAAGTTCTATAATAACGTTTCTGTAGACATTTTATCATGCAATCTTTACTGACATAATGCTGCATTCATTGGTTGTTGGTGTTTCCATGGGGATGGTTTGCTCTAGTTATTATGAGATAACAGCTTATTGTTAGTTATTTTGAGATAACAGGTTATTGTGTTATTGAGATCCCCCACATGGACAATTGGAGGGAATGATAACTCAACACCCTTGCTTTGAATTGCTTTCTGCGTCAATTTTTACTCGTTTATAGATAATTTATTTTACACAATTTCAGCATTTGTCAAATTGATATACATTATAATGCAATACTAATCTAATAGTCAGTATCATTTATATTTACAATATTTTGCCAAAAAAAGTGTCTTTCATATTTTTTTCAAAATTCACTCCTTTTTACACAAATTTCCATTTCAAATCCTTAAAATTCTGACAACCTATATTCTTTTGGGGGCAGAACATTTTCTTTACTTCAAAGCAATATAACTACAAATTGTGAAGAAAATCTACTGGGAAATGGTGACACAATCCTATTACCTTAATTGAGATTACTTAGGCCATTGTGGCTAAAAGTACACCTATTTTCAAAGTGTATCAAAGATATCAATAATCTCATCATACAATAACGGAGAAATAGTATTATAAACAGAGTTACCTTACTGGTGTTAAAAACGGGATGGATACATCATCATACAGGTGAACACATTATGAGAAAAGGAAACTGCAATGGCCATGCATACTGGTGTAGCAGAACTGGACTGGGTCGATCATCAGCCACCATGTAGCTCAATAGGTTAAAGTGTCCGTCTAGAGTTTGAAGGGTCCCAGATTCAAACCCTAGCTGGTCTGGCCGTGCATTTTTCCTTTCCTGTTACACTGGATTAAATGAGTCTTAATGGACCTATAGATTCTAGACAGACAACTGTAATTGGATAGGTTATACCTCAGGTCTTGCAATTGACTCATATCTGTCCTACTTCTCCATACTTCATCAAAGTCTTCCACCACAAAGATACACAATACCCTTAATAATTATTTTCATTGGTGTATTCAATTGGACACCAGCTGTAACAGGATTAAACACCATGCAAGACCTGGACTTCCATCTTGGACCTCCAAGCTCACCTATACTCCAACCAAGCTACCTGGTCGTCCGTGAGGGATCCAGTCCAGATGTCCAGAATGGCCACATCATTAATAAATGAATTCTTAATTTATAAGCTGTCATATGCATGCTTTAATTGCAATGTTTAACTTTTTGTTTGTAGTTGCTGACTAATGCTGGTTTTAATACGGTCCTTTGCCCTGTACTGACCTTTGACTTTTTGAACCTTGACCTTTATGAAGATCAGTTATCAAAGCCAGATGAATATTCAGCAATTGTATTCACCAGCCAACAGGCTGTGAAAGCAACGGAAATGGTGCTAGACTCACTGTCAGGTTTGTAAAGAAAGTTATCTGGATCAGTACATTTGTGTTTGTAGACCTGCTTTGCTAGGTAAAGGGAGGCTATCCTTATGCTTATGTAGCAGGTGAATTGAGGGGAGATAACCTCAGACATGTGTTGTATCCATAATCTTTGTTTCCTTTGGCATTGGTGAGAGTAAGGGGAGATAACCTTTAATAAGTCTCTTTTTCAGGGTAAAGAGTGGATGAGGGGAGATACAACATAAGCTTTATTATAAATTGAATTGTCAGAGATGGAGATCATAGATGATATCCCCAAAAATGTTATCTCTCTATATATAGCTGCAATGTAGCTGCTAAACTATAGGTGATATTTGACAACCGACATCAAGGCTCTTACATTGTATATTATATATATAATGCTTTAATGCTTTTAAAGAGAGATTTTATTTTATTTTGATAAACCTTTTTGGACTGCGGTAATGCAGTGTTAATTTGAATTTATTAAATTTTGCTTTTGGCTATCTTCTCCCTTTCATATTGTAAGATCAGAGTACAGATATCCCAAGAGTATTTGTGTGTATAGTGTTAGATTTCTTGCTCTAAATTTTTTCTTCAAGCAGACATGCTTTTAATTTATATACTCTTATTCTTATCCCCCTAACTCTGTCAGAAATTGGTAACAAAGGGTGGTAACTAAAAGATGATTTTATTTCTTCAATATCTCTTCTGCAATATCTACATGTAAAGCAAAATCGACATATCCTCTTTTGTTACTAGGTGAAGGGATGCAGCCCCTGGATAGGTGGACCTGCTTTGTGGTTGGACAGGCCACTGCCACAGAAGGTAATTCATATTTAACTCAACAGACAGTGGTGACATGCTTAACCACAGGTTTCTATCAGAGAAACTTCAATCTAATCTGATTTTGATCTTGGGATTTTAGAGCCTTTTGTAATGAAAGACATGTTTTATTTTGGCGATTCGAGAATTTAATGCTGATGACTGACAGCATCATATTTTGGATTTAATGGGAGACTTCTTGACATTATGCCACATCTTGTACAGGACATTTTTACCTGTTTGAGAACATGTGCTTCACATCCATCTCTTTTGTGGGGTTTTATGATCCCTATTAGTCAATTTTGTGGTTATGGTTACCTATGTCAATCCATCCTGTCGCATTCTGCCCCATCATGTTGTACTGTACTGACCTGATACACTATCATCGATCACTCCGGTGGCTTAGTTTCTTAACAGATTTTGATATAACTTTAAATAAAACGGCGCATAACAGGTAAGGTCACTGTTCCAATCTGCCGGTAGATAAATTTGTCAGTCAGTTCAGTAATGTCACTTTGGCAATTTTATTTGTCTACAAATGTTATACCAAGGTTGAGTATAAGAATCTTGAAGCTCAGTTTAAAACACATCCTAATGTAAAAAGAAATCTGATATTATATATGTATAAAACACTGTGAAGTAATTAAACAACAAGTCTGACAGAGCAATTAGTTTTGATACCTATCACCTTGTTTGTGGTTTTAACAAATGACATATATCACTCTTTATTGGGCTTGTGACATTTTAATTGATAATTTGCTTATATTAACATTCTTGGTCAATTTAATCTGATGAAATTAACATTAAAATTAATAATGCCTGACATAAATTATTGCTCAGATTCACAAACATGTGTTCCCTGTGATAAAAACCAGCATGGTTTATTTTTAAATAGATATATAAGTGTTAAGTGGCTATTTATCATCACATCTGATTTCAATATAACTTCTTATACTTTTGATATTTTTATATACATGTATATATGTTGTGTACCTCTACACCAGATTTCATGTAGACATATTCTTCCCTTGTGGGTTATAATATAATTTAGTTATAATTTACAACCAAGAACTGTTGCAAGGGAGGTAACCTCAACAGTTTTTGCAGATTTCTGTCATGATATGATATATATGTTCCACAGCTAAAGGCGAGTTAAATATCTGACAAATATGCTACAAATCAATGGACTGCTAGTATTGTATATCAAATTTGAACAAATTTTCTCTGAATAATGCATTATGATAAAAACCATATTCATTATCGAGAAGAGTTAAACTTTACACCTGGGGAATATGACCTCACACAAACATTGGAAACACGTACATTGCATATAATTGAAATATTACAGTTATTTTTGAGTCCTAATACATGTGCTAGTCTAGTGTTTACTTTTTTGTCAAACTGTGAACCCAATGTTATTCCTGGTATGATACCTTCGGCACCTGTTTGGTTGGAGATGCCATTTCATGCACTAATATCTTGATTTTGTTTACTTATTATGTATTTCAAATGACTTATATACATATGTAAGACCACATGTACACAAGTTATACACTCGCCAGATGTATGGTTGTCTAACCCTGACATAGCCTTTTAAGTTTGAGTATAGTTATATGTAGAGAAAGTATGATTTTGTTTTACAAATGTCATTTATTACTGGGTTTTATAAATACCTTAAAGACATGTTTTGACTGTTTGCATGTTTTCATATTGACATACTCACCTGCTGTAACGTGTAACAGTTAACATTTTGGTTATAGAGCTGATGTATAGCCCAGAAGGTTAAAAGGGGTAAAGTTTGAGGCATTATACAAAAAATAAAATTGTTGGATAATTTTCATTTTTATAATATAATGTAGCACCCTTGTCAAATGTTCTGCAGAGTTTGTGGAGAAAAATCAAAATCTGTGTATATACACAGGGCCACAAGGAGGCACTTTGTAATACATTGTGCAATATTTGAATTTATGCTTCAACACTCAAACATATTCTTTTGGATATCTGAAAGGCAATAACACGTGATATTTCAGGAGTAGTTTATTGGCATGAAATGCTTTAAGTTATTATTTAAAAAAAAAAAACTTTGAGCTTTATTCAAGGTCCAACGGTGAAATCTGTTAAAAGGATTTCTTCTGAAATACTAAGAGACCTAGAGTTATGATATTTGGTCAGTGTCTTGCTGCAATGAGTGTAATAATGAAGTTACAGAAAGGCAATGACCTCTGCTATATTCAAGTTCACAGGGTTCAAAACCATGAAAAACCCGATGAAATTCATTTTGAGTTGCCAAGAGGCCAAGAATCATGATATTATATAAGTTTATCTTCTGTGTCGAATCATTTGTTTTGTCTACGTTTCAAGTCTGTATCTAATCTTTCATTCTGTCCATGTCCTGTTTCTATATTTATCCTAAATGTTTAATTATTTGTTCTGTATCTTAATATCAGTTCTGTCCCTGTTACTGTCCTGTGTGTCTGGGTTTATCCTCTGTGTATCATACAATCAGTTCTGTCCATGTTACTGTCCTGTGTGTCTGGGGTTATCCTCTGTGTATCATACTATCAGTTCTGTCCCTGTTACTGTCCTGTGTATTAAGGTTTATCCTCGATATCTGTATCTTAATATCAGTTCTGTCCATGTTACTGTACTGTATATCTGGGTTTATCCTCTGTGTATTATAATCAGATCTGTCCCTGTTACTGTCCTGTGTGAATGGGTTTATCCTCTGTGTATCATACTATCAGTTCTGTCCCTGTTACTGTCCTGTGTGTTAAGGTTTATCCTCTGTATATCATACTATCAGTTCTGTCCCTGTCCTGTGCTATAAGGTTTATCCTCTGTGTACTATATGTACTGTGTGTTAAGGTTTATCCTCTGTGTATCATACTATCAGTTCTGTCCCTGTTACTGTCCTGTGTGTCTGGATGTTTCTTCTGTGTATCATACTATCAGTTCCGTCCCTGTTACTGTCCTGTGTGTACAGGGTTATCCTCTGTGTATCATACTATCGGATCCTCTGTGTATCATACTATCCGTTCTGTCCCTGTTACTGTCCTGTGAGTACAGGTTTATCCTCTGTGTATTATACTATCAGTTCTGTCCCTGTAACTGTACTGTGTGTTAAGGTTTATCCTCCGTGTATTATAATTGGTTCTGTCCCTGTTACTGTCCTGCCTCTGTGTATCATACTATCAGTTTTGTCCCTGTTACTGTCCTGTGTGTAGTGTATATCATACTATCAGTTCTGTCCCTGTCCTGTGCTATAAGGATTATCCTCTGTGTACTATATGTACTGTGTGTTAAGGTTTATCCTCCGTGTATTATAATCGGTTCTGTCCCTGTTACTGTCCTGTGTGTCTTGATGTATCCTCTGTGTATCATACTATCACTGTCCTGTGTGAATGGGTTTATACTCTGTGTATCATACTATCAGTTCCGTCCCTGTTACTGTCCTGTGTGTAGTGTATATCATACTATCAGTTCTGCCCCTGTTACTGTCCTGTGTGTTAAGATGTATCCTCTGTGTATCATACTATCGGATCCTCTGTGTATCATACTATCCTGTGTATCATACTATCAGTTCTTATCATACTATCAGTTCTGTCCCTGTATACTGTCATGTGTCTCTGTGTATCATACTATCAGTTCCGTCCCTGTTACTGTCCTGTGTGTACAGGGTTATCCTCTGTGTATCATACTATCGATTGTGTCCCTGTTACTCTCCTGTGCTATAAGGTTTATCCTCTGTGTTCTATATGTACTGTGTGTTAAGGTTTATCCTCTGTATATCATACTATCAGTTCTGCCCCTGTTACTGTCCTGTGTGTTACTGTGCTGTGTGTCTGGATGTATCCTCAGTGTATATCATACTATCAGTTCTGTCCCTATAACTGTCCTATGTGTCTGGATGTATCCTCTGTGTATCATACTATCAGTTCTGTCCCTGTAACTGTACTGTGTGTTAAGGTTTATCCTCCGTGTATTATAATCGGTTCTGTCCCTGTTACTGTCCTGTGTGTCTGGATGTATCCTCTGTGTATCATACTATCAGTTCTTGTATCATACTATCAGTTCTGTCCCTGTAACTGTCCTGTGTGTACAGGTTTATTCTCTGTGTATCATACTATCAGTTCTGTCCCTGTTACTGTCCTGTGTGTCTGGGTTTATCCTCTGTGTATCATACTATCAGTTCTGTCCCTGTTACTGTACTGTGTGTTAAGGTTTATCCTCTGTGTATCGTACTATCAGTTCTGTCCCTGTAACTGTCCTGTGTGTACAGGTTTATTCTCTGTGTATCATACTATCAGTTCTGTCCCTGTTACTGTCCTGTATGTTAAGGATTATCCTCTGTGTATGATACTATCAGTTCTGTCCCTGTAACTGCCCTGTGTGTACAGGTTTATACTCTGTGTATCATAGTCTGGGTTCTGTCCCTGTAACTGTCCTGTGTGTCTGGATGTATCCTCTGTGTATCATACTATCGGTTCTGTCCCTGTAACTGTCCTGTTTATCCTCTGTGTATCGTACTATCAGTTCTGTATCATACTATCAGTTCTGTCCCTGTTACTGTCCTGTATGTTAAGGTTTATCCTCTGTGTATGATACTATCAGTTCTGTCCCTGTAACTGTCCTGTGTGTACAGGTTTATCCTCTGTGTATCATACTATCAGTCTTGTCCCTGTAACTGTCCTGTGGGTCTGGATGTATCCTCTGTGTATCATACTATCGGTTCTGTCCCTGTAACTGTCCTGTGTCTGGATGGATACTCTGTGTATCATACTATCAGTTCTGTCCCTGTAACTGTCCTGTGTGTCTTGATGTATCCTCTGTGTATCATACTATCAGTTCTGTCCCTGTATACTGTCCTGTGTGTCTGGATGTATCCTCTGTGTATCATACTATCAGTTCTGTCCCTGTTACTGTCCTGTATGTTAAGGTTAATCCTCTGTGTATCATACTATCAGTCTTGTCCCTGTAACTGTCCTGTGGGTCTGGATATATCCTCTGTGTATCATACTATCGGATCCTCTGTGTATCATACTATCATTTCTGTCCCTGTAACTGTCCTGTGTGTACAGGTTTATTCTCTGTGTATCATACTATATACTGTCCTGTGTGTCTGGATGTATCCTATGTGTATCATACTATCAGTTCTGTCCTAGACCTGTTGCTGTCCTGTGTGTAGTTCTGTCCCTGTAACTGTCCTGTGTATACAGGTTGATCCTCTGTGTATCATACTATCAGTTTTGTCCCTGTAACTGTCCTGTGTGTCTGGATGTATCATCTGTGTATCATACTATCGGTTCTGTCCATGTAACTGTCCTGTGTGTCTGAATGAATCCTCTGTGTATCATACTATCAGTTTTGTCCCTGTAACTGTCCTGTGTGTCTGGGTTTATCCTATGTGAATCATATTTTCAGTTCTGTCCCTGTTACTATCCTGTGTGTCTGGATGGATCCTCTGTGTATCATACTATCATTTCTGTCCCTGTAACTGTCCTGTGTGGCTGGGTTTATCCTCTGTGAATCATATTATCAGTCCTGTCCCTGTTACTATCCTGTGTGTGAATCATACTATCAGTTCTGTCCCTGTAACTGGCCTGTGTGTCTGGGTTTATCCTCTGTGTACCATACTCTCAGTTCTGTCCCTGTTACTGTCCTGTGTGTTAAGGTTTATCCTCTGTATATCATACTATCAGTTCTGTCCCTGTTGCTGTCCTGTGTTTACAGGTGTATCCTCTGTATCCTCTGTGTATCATACTATCAGTCTTGTCCCTGTAACTGTCCTGTGTGTCTGGGTTTATCCTCTGTGAATCATATTATCAGTTCTGTCCCTGTTACTATCCTGTGTGTCTGGATGTATCCTCTGTGTATCATACTATCAGTTCTGTCCCTGTATACTGTCATGTGTGTCTGGATGTATCCTCTGTGTATCATACTATCAGTTCTGTCCCTGTTACTGTCCTGTGTGTACAGGTTTATCCTCTGTGTATCATACTATCGGTTCTGTCCCTGTTACTGTCCTGTGTGTTTGGATGTATCCTCTGTGTATCATGCTATCAGTTCTGTCCCTGTAACTGTCCTGTGTGTCTTGATGTATCCTCTGTGTATCATACTATCAGTTCTCTCCCTGTTTACTGTCCTGTGTGTCTGGATGTATCCTCTGTGTATCATACTATCAGTTTTGTCCCTGTAGCTGTCCTGTGTGTCTGGGTTTATCCTCTGTGTATCATACTATCGGTTCTGTCCCTGTAACTGTCCTGTGTGTCTGGATGTATCCTCTGTGTATTATACTATCAGTTCTGTCCCTGTTACTGTCCTGTGTGTACATGTTTTTCCTCTGTGTATCATACTATCAGTTCTGTCCCTCTAACTGTCCTGTGTGTCTGGGTTTATCCTCTGTGTATCATACTATCAGTTCTGTCCCTGTAACTGTCCTGTGTGTCTGGATGTATCCTCTGTGTATCACTGGATGTATCCTCTGTGTATCATACTATCAGTTCTCTCCCTGTTTACTGTCCTTTGTGTCTGGATGTATCCTCTGTGTATCATACTATCAGTTCTGTCCTTGTAACTGTCCTGTGTGTACAGGTTTATCCTCTATGTATCATACTATCAGTTCTGTCCCTGTAACTGTCCTGTGTGTCTGGATGTATCCTCTGTGTATCATACTATCAGTTCTGTCTCTGTAACTGTCCTGTGTGTACAGGTTTATCCTATGAGTATGATGCTATCAGTTCTGTCCCTGTTACTGTCCTGTATGTTAAGGTTAATCCTCTGTGTATCATACTATCAGTTCTGTGCCTGTTACTGGCCTGTGTATACAGGTTTATTCTCTGTGTATCATACTATCAGTTCTGTCCCTGTACTGTGTGTTAAGGTTTATCCTCTGTGTATCGTACTATCAGTTCTGTCCCTGTAACTGTCCTGTGTGTACAGGTTTACCCTCTGTGTATCATACTATCAGTTCTGTGCCTGTTACTGTCCTGTGTATACAGGTTTATTCTCTGTGTATCATACTATCAGTTCTGTCCCTGTTACTGTCCTGTGTGTACAGGTTTATCCTCTGTGTATCATACTATCAGTTCTGTCCTAGACCTGTTGCTGTCCTGTGTGTTAAGCTTTAGCCACTGTGTATTATATTTAGTTTTGTCCCTGTTACTGTCCTGTGTGTCTGGGTTTATCCTGTGTATTATAATCAGTTCTGTCCCTGTTACTGTCCTGTGGATACAGGTTTATCCTCTGTGTATCATACTACCTGTACAGGTTTATCCTGTGTATTATAATCAGTTCTGCCCCTGTTGCTGTCCTGTGTGTTAAGGTTAATTACCCTCTGTGTCTAATTTATCTTTTGCTCTGTCTTTTTTACAGCCAGGCGTCTGGGTTTCCTGCCCCAGGGGAAGGACAGTGGCAGTGCTGAGGTTCTGTCAGAAATTATACTCAAAGGTCAGTAGATGATGATAACCCATGATATCAAGAAATTGATATTTAGGAATATTTACAATCTAGTTTTGAGTAACAGGTATATCCTTATGAATGACTTTGAATTTAAAAAAGGTTGGTTGATTGGTTGAAGGAACCATTGTGTAAAATAGCTAGCCTATTATATACTACTCACATTTTGCTAAGGATCACTTTTATTTTTGGGCATATATGAAAAGAAATATATTTTTTGTTTTATACTGAGATTATTTTTGAAAAATTGATTGTTCTTTCAATTCATCAGCCTGCAAAAATTCCAAAAATCGTAATTACAGTCGGAAAAATTTAGCCACAGAAAAAAAGGTTAACCTTAAAATTGGTAGCAACGAGAAATTCACTAAAAACTCAAATTGAACAAAACTCATCCTAAATAAAAAGAAACTGTTTTAGTATCGTGTGTGACGCCCATGAGCATCAATTTACAGCTTAGCAATGTCTGTGCATGCCCTGAATGAGATCACGTATCCGGTTTTAATTGTGAGATAGCGTTCCACTCAGCTACCTAAGCTGTTCCCAGCTCCTGGAGCGTTCTTGGCTGAACATTTCTGGCAGAGAGAGCTGTACATGTCTGCAGCATGTTCCACACATGCTCGATTGGTTTTTGATCCGGCGAGCAGGCTGGCCAGTCCATTCGTTGAATAGTCTCTTGCTGTAGATACTGCTCAGTCACCCTTGCTCTATGTGGCCTAGCATTATCGTCCATAAGGATGAAGTCAGGGCCGAAAGCACCAATGTAGGGTCTGACATAGGCATCAAGGATTTCATCGCAGTAAATCGGGGCCGTAACAGTACCATTATGGAAGACATGGAGGTCAGTTTTCCCACGGAGGCTTATGCCTCCCCACACCATCACTGAACTTCCACCATATCGGTCATGTTCCACGACGTTACCTGCCTGGAACTTCTCCCCAGGTTGTCTCCATACTCTAACGCACCTGTCGATGAAGTCAAGACAGAATCTGGACTCGTCAGTAAAATGAACCAATTTCAATTCCTGAAGAGTCAAAGTGCTGTAAGCTTAGGCCCAATCTAATCGGTCCCTAACATGGCGGGCAGTAAGGGAACTCGTATTGCTGGTCTACGTGACCTTAAACCAGCATCATGAAGACGGTTCCTAACTGTCTGGGTGGCTACCCGGGTACCAGAAGCATTTAGGAGGTCATTTCGTAAACCTGTGGCAGTCTGGAACCGGTGACGCCATACCTGTAAGAGCAAAAATCGGTCTTGGCGCTGCGTTATAGCCCTAGAACGACCACCCTAAGGTCTGCAGCAACCTGACTTTGAGACATGCTAGCTTGCAGCATTCCGATGGCCCTATTCATTTCACCGCAAGTTAATCCTTGTCTGGTTCATCATTGTGCCATATGAAAACAAAAACATGCAAAGAATATTCGTGAAATTGATTTCCTTAACAACGCCTTAATTACTTGGCCTAGCTTAGCTTTTGAAAGGGGTGTACACGTGGAAAAGGTGCACTCACTTTTATGGTTGACTGAACACACCCACACAGGATGATTTGGAAGGCTAACATATTCGCCCTAAACAGAATGAAAGGAAAATATAATATCCTTTCTAACATTTTTTTTTTTTTATCAAAATATAGGTGATCCTTAGCAAAATGCGAGTAGTATAGTAAGATTGGACCTTCTTATTTATTCCAGTATTTAATGATTGGCGATATGCTCAAATATACTCATTTCAATGGTATTCTTATACAAATTATTGTGTCCCAAATCAAATTTTCTCAATGGAAGAAGCATTTTAGGCAAATAGATTGGACACACATTGTATCCTAAAGCATGCACTAACAAGGATGTGAAGTGTATGTTCAGAACATATAAATGTGTAGCTTTTGTTGTACATTTATATGCAGTACAAAGAACTTTTAAAAAAGTGTGAATGAACTCTTTTCATTTGAACGTAAGGTATAATCTACCTTTGAATTTTATATTGATCATGTTGTCATCATCTTTCTTCAGTCACTACCAAGAATTTTAAGCTCTGCACTTGCCTTCAGGCAAGTAAGTTATAAGCTTGTGCCGTGGTGGAGCATCAGATACATGTTTGTCTGTCCATCCTTTTGTTTTATTTAAACAACTTCATTCGGAATAACTTAATTGGCCTACAGTAATGGTAATTGTCCTGTAGTATACTGAGATGAAAGGCAGTTATAGGTGTTCAAATAAACTACCTTCACCAAATAACAGTGTCAAGGTCATCGATGACAAACCACACATTTTCCAATAATATTGAATAACTTGTGTGCAATATTTATTGTATACAGGCCTTTGGATATTTTGTAATATCCAGAATGCTCAATATATTTTCATTTAAATTGCATGTATATAGCTGGTGATTTTGATTTATTTATGACTCCACAGATGTAAGACCTAAAAGTAAGCCTATTCTGTATCCATGTGGAAATTTGAAGAGGGATACCTTACCAAAAAAGATGAAAGAAAATGGTATGGATTTTTATTACTGAACCTTCTCTAATTTTATATTTGTAACAACTAAACTTCAAAGATGTTTGTCTCGGTTTAAATCAAACACACTTCATTGCTACGAAATTACAAAAGGATGGGACATATAGGTTGGTACATCATCAACCCCCTAGCTCCTATCAAAGTCAAGTACAAGATATGATGAGAAGTGGACTTAAGGCCTCAATTTATCAATCATTGACAAAATCCAGGAAAAATTGCTAACAACACGGCAAAATTTCTTCCAAACATCAGAATTGATTGGAGCATCATCGACGTGTTTAAATTTTGATGTTTGGAAGAGATTTGCTGTGTTGTTTGCACTTTTTCCTGGATTAATTTTTGCTTACACCTGCCAGTGTAAACTCTGTATACTTTCTTGGTATCCACGGTATAATCGACGAAGAAATAGAAGATGATTACTTATCTCAGACGTTGTGTCTCCACCCCCTCTTTTGTGATTTATCATTAAAAAAAGTAAATTTTTAATCATCAGATCATCTGCTAATAATAACTTAATTGCCTGTTTTTGCAAATGTAATATACATGTATATCTCCAAAATTTTGAAATTCCTCTATTCAAAAGAAGTGAGCAATCAAGGGTATGACCCATTTCAGGCCAATTTCTTTCCTTATATTCTCTATTGAGCCTCTACTAAAATGTTTTTCGAAAAAAAGGAAAAAGAAGAGATTCATTATGAAGCGTTGAAATCAGTCATTTTCATATTTTATTGATATAGGGAGAAAAAAAAATCAAAATCATTTTGAAGCAGTTATCTAATATAAAGAATTACTTGCATGTCATCAATACCTTCATTTCTGTATTCCTTTAAAATATGTAATTGTTTAAATCACACCTCTATTTAAACTTAGCATTTACCGTAGATACTTGACAGGTTTTGTAAAGTGCATTTGGAACTCTTTTATGAAGGATAGACTTAATTGACAAAACCTAGTTTTTGATTTTACTGATTTAAGCCCCATACAGAACAGTTTAGAAACGTGATCAGACTTTGTTTCCAGGTGTAGATCTACACGAGGTTACAGTGTATCGGACTATTCCAAGGGATGACATCGAAAAATGTATCCATGACATCGTGAGGACAGAGGTAAGTAATCATTATGTCATTATTACCATTATGATGGAGGCACGGTAGTCTAGTGGTAGGACGCCGGGCTTGTGACCGAAGGGTTGCAGGTTCGACTCACGGCACTGTGTTGTATCTTTGAGCAAGATACTTTACTCCGCTTTACTCAGCTGTAAATGAGTAAGTGGTTGAGCAGAGCTAGAATTGTTGAATGCTAACTGTGAGTGCCGAATTGGAAGCACCGGCTGCATGCTCCCCAGGGTGTTGAGAAAGATATTGGCTTGTTGCAAATTAAAGGCCCTATAACCATGGATAATAATTTGTGAACTGCTTTGAGACGACCTACACACTAGGTTATTGTGATAAATCGGTATATAAGAACCTCAAATTATTATTATTATTATGATAGTATTTAATATTAGTAATATCTCCTCAGAAATCAAAAGTTTTCTTAATTAGGGGGTATATTTAAATGTATGTACTTCACGGAATTAGATCAGCAATCTAAGTCTGTTGTACTGCCCATCAGTTTAGTCACATGTACGTTGTAACTAGAACAAGTGATTTAGATATCATGTCTTATGATAGAAAATAAAAAGACAACTCTGCAGATATAGATATAACATAAGCTTCATTTCCCTCAGAGAATGGTTACTTCATGAGAAAATGATAACAATGCATGTCATGTAAAGGGAAGTAACTCTTACATACCTAGACTTTCAAGTTAATAAGATATATTTTTCTTCTTGGTGCTTTGTCAATTGTGAAGTCTTTAAGAGAATTTTTTCTTCATATCATTGATAAAATGACTGATTTATATTGACATGTTCAGGTCTCTAATGCACCTACTTTTAAAATTTCAACTCTTCAATAAAAGTGTTCATGGAGGAGCGAAAATGCTTTGCAAAATCTGAAAGAAATAATGACAGTTATTCCAGTGACATTTCAAAAATTTGATTAAAAAAACTTTAAGCTTAATGCAATGACTTTATTGAATACCAAAGTGTATGGTGTAAGGAATTTTGCTTATTTCTTAATGAAAAAAAAATGATCGATTTGAGCCTCGCCCAAAATGCTGAATCACCAAATGTTTATACAATGTATTAAGAGATTTTTTTCCATGTTTTTAGCAGGTTCATTAACAGAATGATTTAAATACCTGTATGTGCCAATTTTAGCTCACATTATAGATAATCCTTATTCTATTTAAATATTTATCTAGCCCATACTTGTTATGATGTAGGTTTGGAAATCAGCAAACAGTCTATACAGAATTCAGTGACTTGAAACTTGACTGTTTTTACTCTGTTTAGCTGAAAATTCATATTCAGTTCATTAAAGTAACACATTTTGAAACAAAATAGTCTACCTTGTTCAACAATTGGCTGCCAGTACATTTTAACCCTTTCACCCCTATGTAACTTTAGTAGACTCTAGATCTGCCATGCATTGATATGGATGAGTCCATTATGATCTACAGTGGTGAAAGGGTTAATGGACGCTTACAATGTAACCTGTTTCTGTTTTCTAGTTGTTTCAAATAACAAGTTTTCTACAAGTGATTTTTTTTAAATACATCACACTGCTTTATGTGAGTTGCATGTGTATAATTGTGAAGTGAGACAATGCATCGGGGTTTAATGCTGGTCTTTCGTTTACAATACATTTAAAAATGGATGATTTCAAAAATAAAGTTATTTTTACATCAATCTTCATACACTTATTATAGTTTAATTATATAATAATATGTCGTAGCAAACAGTGTTACAGTAGCTTCATATGTGGCCAACATACATTAGTGTACTGCACATCATGTGGTATGGTGACCATACAGGAAGCACTATTAACTTTCTTCTGCAAAATTCACCAAGCACATCCATTTATCCCCTATTAAAGTAATTTCTGTTTGAACATGGTTATATTTGTCCATTAGCAGCCAATTTTCTCGATTAATTATCAGATAGCTTTATTTTTTGAGAAGTGCCATTTCAATTCACTCAGGTTACCTGAAACGGATGATATTGAAACTTTATGTTGTGTATTTTGACTTATCTTGTTCGCCAGACCAAAATAAGGTAGCATTGTTGATGCAGCACCAATATCTTGGCTCTTTATGGTGTCTACTTGTATTGCCTTGTGTCATATAAAATAATTTACAAATCATTCCATTGTTATGGGTCAAGATTTCTTTGTCTCAGAGTTATATTAATATTGGTCGCAATTCCTTTGTCTCGGAGTTATATTAATATTGGTCAAATTTCTTCGTCTAGGAGATATATCAATATTGGTCAAGCTTTCTTCGTCTCAGAGTTATATTAAAATTAGTCAAGATTCCTTCGTCTCGGAGTTATATCAATATTGGTCAAGCTTTCTTTGTCTCAGAGTTATATTAATATTGGTCAAGATTTGTTCGTCTCAGAGTTATATTAATATTGGTCAAGATTTCGTCGTCTAGTAGATATATTAATATTGGTCATTTATTTTTCGCCTAGGAGTTATATTAATATTGGTCAAGATTTGTTCGTCTCAGAGTTATATTAATATTGGTCAAGATTTCGTCGTCTAGTAGATATATTAATATTGGTCATTTATTTTTCGCCTAGGAGTTATATTAATATTGGTCAAGATTTGTTCGTCTCAGAGTTATATTAATATTGGTCAAGATTTCGTCGTCTAGTAGATATATTAATATTGGTCATTTATTTTTCGCCTAGGAGTTATATTAATATTGGTCAAGATTTGTTCGTCTCAGAGTTATATTAATATTGGTCAAGATTTCGTCGTCTAGTAGATATATTAATATTGGTCATTTATTTTTCGCCTAGGAGTTATATTAATATTGGTCAAGATTTGTTCATCTCAGAGTTATATTAATATTGGTCAAGATTTCTTCGTCTAAGAGTTATATGGGTCAAGATTACTTTGTCTCAGAGTTATAGGTCAAGATTACTTCGTCTCAATAGTTATGGGCCAAGATTTCCTTGTCTCTGAGTTTTGGGTCAAGCTTTCTTCGTCTCAAGAGTTATGGGCCAAGATTTCCTTGTCTCTGAGTTATAGGTCAAGACTACTTTGTCTCAAGAATTATGGGCCAAGCTTTCTTCGTCTGAAGAGTTATGGGCCATGATTAATTCGTCTCAAGAGTTATGGGCCAAGATTTCCTTGTCTCTGAGTTATGGGTCAAGACTACTTTGTCTCAAGAATTATGGGCCAAGCTTTCTTCGTCTGAAGAGTTATGGGCCATGATTAATTCGTCTCAAGAGTTATGGGCCATGATTACTTCGTTGCCAGAGTTATAGGTCAATATTACTTCGTCTCAAGAGTTATATGGGCCATGATTACTTCGTCGCCAGAGGTATAGGTCAATATTACTTCGTCTCAAGCGTTATGGGTCAAGATTTCTTCGTCTCAAGAGTCATGGGTCAAGATTTCCTTGTCTTAAGATTATTTCGATGTTTGCTGTTTCTTAATTTTTTATGATCGTATTGCTAAGGAGGATCGATGTCTCTAGGCAATACTTTTTTAACTAGTATCATTTGATAATTAAGAATCACTTTTTATAAATATAATGTATTATGTTATTGTTTTTTGTAAATATCAATCCATCATATTGTAATAGTTATGATAAATCACAAACAATATTTTTTTCTGTTTAATTGAACCATCAGTTTATTGATAAAGTCCACATTCTTATCAGTAAAAAAGATTTTTACCTTTTGAACTCTTTTGGAAAAGACATAAATATCACAGTGAGGTAATTATTAAATCTGTATAAAGAGTTCCCCCAAGGGGGGATCAGCCAGGAAACGATTACCCCAGGAATGGATCACTAGACCAAAATTGGTTGATATACCGAGGTGGTCTCTCAATAGTTTTTAATGTAGAATATACAGCTTCATGGGGTGAGAGTATGTGTTTCTTAAGAAAGAGGATTGCTTAATAGAAGTGCTATTTATCTTGAGCAGATTTACCTGTATATATTTACTTTATAAAACATGAGAAAACCACTCAACAAGTGTGATGCATACTGGATAATCTATTCATAGAGGGAGATCTCAAAGCTTTACCTCTTAAACAGTAAAAAATGTTGTGCACAGGAATATAATGCTAACTCTCTGCCCCATGATCAAAAATGAAACTGTTGACAAACTTGCAAATAACAAGCTAAGAGCTTATACAGTAAGATTAACGGGGTAAGAGTTGTCTATCTTTGGGCTTACTTTACACGAATACTTGACCATGTTTTAGTCATTAGCCGACTACACTATGTGTACTTCACCCACATAAAAAAGCCTAATTAAACTGAAATAATTGGGATAACTGTTTTCCCTATGACCATAACATGTGGATTGATTTTAGACATGAATTGCAAAGAAAGCACTATAAATCATGATTCATGATTTTAGCTGAATTTGTGAAAAATTCCCTTGCATGTTTTTAAGGTGCTTTATTTAAATAAAATGATGGTAAAATGATAATATTCCCCTGCTGATATGTTTTAAATCCCGCTTACATACATTTACCTGTACAGGAAAGTAACATCAGCTTACCGGCCTCTGTGTGGAATGTTTTATACTCCGTGAATCATTCCGCTGAACCTGAGGCATTTTATTTGTAATTAACACTCAACAGTTTTTGGTAATCATTTTTGCTGGTAATCAGTTCTGCTGGTCTTTATTTCCAGATTCGTGTCCTCTGATACTGTAAGGGGTTTGGCATTGATAATAACTATGCAGACCATGTTGTATAGCAAAATAGATCCAGTAAAATATACAGACTTTAAAGTTATGTCTAAATCTACATTCTTAGTTTCATGAATGATGGGTTTACGGGTTTGTGAGATTTTATTTTGTCAAACTGTTTAAGCATGGTTCCTAATGATTTGATTGTTGCCTTATTGTATTTTTTGTAATCGTATTGCTTATATAAACTTTGTTTAGCCAACATGTCTAGGCCATGAAGCTATTCATGGTTTGTGGTAAATAATTAATAAAATATGGCGTCTGTACTGTCAAAATGATTAAAAAAATATGCATTTAATTAATTAATTTATATTCTATTAAGATGCGAGTGTCTTACTCAACTGATTTTCCAAAATTAGTAATTTGAGAGATTGAAAAGATGTAATTAGTGTTAGGTGGCAATTAAAATATAGTCTTGAGGTATATAGTATTGGTATGTGATGTTACACCAATAATACTAAACGTACCTGTCCTGTCTGTGGCCAAGTGAGTATATATCGTTATACATTATTAAGGATCCATCTGTCCTTGTTTAACTTTTTTGAATTATCGTAATTTGACGTGCATGAAATGTTTAATCTATTAAAAGTTAAGACATATCTTAATTGTAAAATCAATTACTCATACAAAATGTAGATCTGAAATTGCCAATAATAGAAATATCTACGAGACTATACCATGGTGTTTTTTAGGATAGAACTTTTTAATTTAAGCTAGATTTTATTTCCCTAAAGGTCTAGAGAGACACAATTACTAGATGCATGAGAAATAAGAATGTAATATTGAGCTCATGATTTTTTTCTCTCTAAAAGTCAAGTCCAGGAATGTTATATGCCAGTTTGTTGGAGTTTCCTTTTGTTCATATACTTTGGAACCTTTCAGTACTCTTCAGGAGTGAGTGTACTGCACTTTTACAGAAGCGAAATTACCATTTTATTCATTTTTTTTTTTTACTAAAAGCCACATTTCATTAATTAAGTTGAATATCGTTATTGCAGGGTACCCCCAGCTACATGGTATTCTTCAGTCCGTCTGGTGTGGAAGCCACTCTTCCAGTCCTTGAGTCGTCCTGGTTTGCAAAAGACCATGTGAAGGTAAGTACATTGTATGTTAAAGATGAACGTTATTGACACACACGCAGGTGATTGCACCTTATGATTTGGTAATAGATACAGTAAATCAAAATGAATTACACAGCATCAAACAGGTAAAACACATGCACCTTTACGTTTTCAGTTCTTGTCTTTGAATCCTTCTAGGTTAAACGTCAACATACAAGGTGGCTTCTACCCTCTCTGTCTGTGAACCCGTCTGGTTTAAAAAGATGACATACATGTAACCAAGTCAAACCCCCTCAGGCGCTCATATAAACATGTATTTTTAAGAGACAAAAACGAAAATAATCATGTCGTTTTTCCTGTGACTTTTAATATTTTTGCTTATCGAACGAACATAAAAACGATATTCATTTAGAAATACTTATACGATTGAACCCACTGCTATGTAAATTAACTTCATGTGTCTTTCATTCCTTGTGATATATAAAAAAACCACTACACAGACAAAAAACAAATCAGTAAAATTCCTCTGTGGTAAACGCTAACATTTGCTGTTTTGCAAAAGTTCACATACATGTAAACAAGAAGTAGAATTCTTCTCTCCCCGAGTGACATGATCCTGGTAAAATTTCCATCAGGTTAAAATCATCCCTCGTTGTTTCTTTTAGTTTTCATGGTTTTCAGAAAAAGCAACCTCCAAAAGGTGATGAAATATAATAATATTAGGGTGGATGTTATCAACCTGTCTAGTCGAGGCCACCCTTCTTGTTTACACACACTCATTAACTTCATTCACATAGGACACAAAATTAGCATGGAAGAGATTCCTCTGCTTTTTAAGCCATTTATCATGCTTTTGTTTTTCCTGTTTGTAAAAGGACGACAACGAGGTATCGTTGTGTGGTAAATGATCTCCAATGTCTGACAAACGTCATCACAAATGTTACAAGAAGAAATACTAAAACCTGGAGTCTAACCTCCTTGTTTGTCTGTTATTATGAATTATAAAAAAGCAACAAAACTAAACACCTGATGTCGGACAAGAGAATGATTCCTCATTCTCGCCCTTTGTTTGTTGGCGTTAAATTGCACATTTAATGTGAAATATTTTGCAAAAACATAAAAACCAATATCATATTTAAAAAACAAATTTCAAAACTGTATTCCCGAAGGGCTGTTGTCTGGTAAAATCTCTCAAGAAAGAATCTGCGGAAGACTAACTTATTTGTAATTTTGATGTTTTGGGAAAAATGCAAATTAGGAAGCAGCTGCAGATATGGCTGCTCCTCTGGAAGCAGAATGGGTTTTTAACTGGACATCTTTCCTTTGCTTTACTAAGATTCTTGATCCATCTAGATAGAGTCTGTAGAGACAGGATAACTTGGTTTAAAGGTAACCAACGATTTGTTTGATTTTCGAATCTCTTCTGTTTTTCTGAAGCACTCTCTCCGATTGTATAACACACAACCTCTCCGATGAAAATCTGTCTGATCTTTCCTTTTAAAACGACTAAGAACGTTTGAAGGTTTCGACGTTTTCATGATGTTATTAAGTAAGCGAAATGGATATGCACCAAACATAGAAAGACTCATGACATCAAGTCTTTTGCCATCTGAACAGGTGTGAAAGCAAATAAGCACGCTAATTACTTTGTTAAGATAGATATGTCTCATTTTGGAATAGATATGTGTTTCCAAAACACCGTAATGAATCGAATCGGACATATCCAATGTACAGTTGTAATCCGGCTTCAGCGAACATGTATTGAAATCGCCTTTCACAAATCAGTTTATTTGTCAAGTGTGTGTTTCATGGCACTACTGCGTCATGTTGCTGAAATGACCATGTAGAATCTCTAGTAATTTTGTTGATTCCAGAATGCTGTCATATTAATGTAATGCCTTTGTTCACTCCTAAAAGGAGACTAAGCGTAGACATCTACGTACATCACTAATACAACAGTCCGACCGAATACAATGTTACATGTACATTTCAAGACCTTATGGGAACTATAGATAAACTCCTGGGTGTCCACAATGTTCAAACCACACAGTATTTGCTTCCCCTTTTTGTATAATGAGCATTACAAGATTCTGCTAAATTTGTTTCTGATGAAATTTGGAAACTGCATTTGAGAGTTCGTGTAAGTATTGATGATTTGGCTCAAGTTCGACTCATTAAACCTGTTCGTACGGATAATCACGACGGTAATTTGGAATAGTATCAAAGCCGAATTTGTCAACTAGAGGATAGATGCCAAAAACAGCAGTGAAATTCTGCATGAAAAGTTTATCGAATCTTATTTATCACCGTACTTCAGCTACAAACGTACCCCAATACTGTGTTTAGTCTGAACACATTGCTTCCAAGTTTCTCAAATACAAAGAAACGTAATAACAGCTGAATGTGGATGACTTGAGAATAAATTTTCTTTCATCATGTTCTTGCTATGCATCTCCGTCCAACTTTGATTCAGTTCGACACGTACTGACTGGCGATCTAAATATCATACATAATTAAAGGTACGACAAACTTTCATGAGTTTGTAGTATCGCGAGACTACTACTATCAATTGGAATGTAATTTTTAATATACAGATGGGTTGTGTGGAAAACTACGCCACATACAGTGGACAAAAGGAAAGCATGCTGAATTGGATTCACTTCCAAAGTAGATCGAATCTATCAGGCCCATTATTAAAAATAGAATTAGCGGCGCAAAAAAATCCGAATGAAAGTATAACACAAATTTTAAATAGGATAATCTTTCCTAATTCCCATAAGAAAAAGCTGACCCTGTCCTGAAATTCCAGCATTGTTGCCGTACAATTTTTCTACCCGTGTCTCTATGAGGGTCATTGTGAAAGTGATTACGTTAATCACCCAGCCACAGTTCCCTGTCTCATACTGAGGATTTGTTGTATGATCTGAATTCCTGTCGATTCTGAATATTTTGTTTTGCCTAAGCTATGCAGTTTGTTTTCACAAAAAAATCTTTGCTGCTTTGACTAATAATAATACAAATATAATAAAAAGGTTTTATTTAAACCACGGATTAATAACTTTCTTGTTTTGGTTTTCTTCACTGAGATTTTAGATGAACTCATTTATGTAAAGAATGGTGATACTTGTATTTTGGTAACCTCTCTTCAGCTTTTTTATTGCTTCATTCTCACAAAAGAAATTGGTCAGCACATTGTATTCTGAACAGGATAACTTTCAAACTCCTAATCTGAACCTTTATATGATCTGCAAGAGCCATTCATTATCAGAGATATATTGGAAAAAATGAAAAAAAAATAGTTTACCTAAAAGAAACACATGTTTTGAGGCTGCTGTGTTAGCTCTGAGATCAGGGTTCGACCGAGTCGTCTGAAATATATCCGAACCCGATTCTGTGACTATTTGCAAGGCCTTTTCTCACGAGAAAGAAATCACTTAACACTATGGTTGCTTCCTAAAAATGCATAATCAACTCTCTCCAAAACAACCACTCTTAAGTTTTAATGGGGGTATATTTCGTGGGATAGGCCTCACTGAGCCCTGGCTTTAAAGGAAACGCCACACTGTATATATTTTTTTAAAGTTAGCAGGGAGCAACCACAAAAGACGCAAAGTTTCCCTGAAATGCGAAATTTTTATCCGGACTTCCGTTTACTTCATCATGTTCATCATGCATGGACTTAACATAAATTGTACTTTTTAAAACCCTAAATACGGCATGCTGCCCATTTTTTAACTCGAGATACGGAGCTTGCATCGGTCTCACCAATTTGGGCTATATGTATTTGTTTTCCTTAGGCGCCTCTATCACAACACAACTACCGAAACGCAATCCTTGTTTAGTTAACGTTAGTTACAGGCTTCATGCATGCAGAAAAGACAAAAGTTGTTACTTCCTCTTTTAAAACCTCATCGACGCCCTCATCATCTTAACACTCGGATATAATGACAATTGTAACGTGTCCGAATACACATCGTCAGTCTTTTTGCTGTCCTCCGTACTAAGCGAACGCAACTGGTCCTCCCATTGCTAGCTGGTAAGTCTTCATCGTCGGCAAACAATTGCCTTCATTTTGGACAGTATTATTTCAATTGTTATAACGAGCGATAGGGAATGGACAACGACAGCCTATTCATTTTTCCCTCTTCTTTACTCTTGAACTGTCGTATTCACTCACATACAACATCTCATGAATATCTAGGTTTCTTAGCTCTTCCTCGCTGCCGACGGAAGCGAATGACATTTTTCTGCCCTTGGTCGCATCCTCAATGAGGTATATGTCTGGAGTTGATCTCTGGTGGCTAGGGATGAGTTATGCGAATGAGTTGGAGATTTTTCAGTCTTTTTTGCGTCAGAGTTCTACCCCTATAGGTTGACAATGTGCATTTAATACCCACTGCAGAATGCGAAGATGGAAGAGATCACAGGATATGTAAATAAAGCATTCTGGTCATGCAGTACCATTCCAAAAAGTTCCAATCTTTATGATGAAAATCGTCTAAGTTCAATACGTAAGTAATCAGCCGACAATAGTAGCAGAGTATTATTCTCATGGTTAAGACGTTTTAGTATCTCAAGAAGATTTCGGCGAATTACACAACAAATCATATATTGAGTTTAGTAATTAAAAAGTTTGTTTTTACATCCTTCCTCTAATCTTCACAAAGACAACAGGATTTTCAACTGAGGATACTGAAATTTGTTAGACAGCCGTTAACATATTTTTTTTATGTAGGCGAAACAATTTTTCATATCTTAACCATGGGGTTGAGTTGTATGTTGATTTATAATAACAGCCTCACGTATAATATTCCAACCCGAACGAATTAATGTGAATTGTCCCGACTATTTACGGTATTTCGTGTCGGTGAACATTTTCTATAACTAGAGTGATAATGATGATATTATTGTTAACTCGATATCGGTAACGGTATGATTTACAATGTTTACTTCTTTCTAGCCAACTTAGGTACATTAGTTTAATTGATTGTATGACACTTTTTTTTAAAATTATGAATATCAAAGAGGAAATA